TTCTGACTATGATAATCGCGGACTACCTGCTTAGAAATCAAAGCATTTCAGAAGTACTTTCTCCCAACCAATCGGCAGATCAAAAGGATCGAAAGTGCGCAGAAATCTCAGGTGCTTTCCAATCTCTCTCAAAACTATGAAGGCGCGGAAAGTATTCGAGCATACGGAAGGGTAAGTAAGCTTACGTTTAGCGTTCTTGTTCACATTTCCTTCATAATTCCACTCGAAAGCGTTACTTGTCAGGTTATCTACATATATTTCCTCTTATGTAATCAGTGTTTTGCAAAACCGACGTAATAAAGCTTCCCCTTGTAAAGTGAAGACGAAGGTATACTAACATAGCGGAAATATTTTCAGTGCAGTTCGGCACTAATACTACATTGATACGTACAACTTTGCCTCAAACTGACATTATGAAAACGCGGGTAGAAGACTATTATACCAAACGTCGCGGTCACAAGCGCTTTTCGAGAGCTTCTTTTCGAGCATCACTCTACCATGCAATCAACATCACGAACACATATTTGCACGGAACTTCTGCAACAAAGAAACACAAAACTGTTCACAGTCTACCCACTGTCTTCATCAACTAGACTGGAAATAGCCTCGGCCTCTCGCAAGAAGACAGCGATAAAGGAAAGATTGTTTTCTCGTACGGGTCCGAAGTTTATTAATGGGTAAAGAACACAGCAAAAAAGTGAAGGGATGCTTTATATTACATCTTTGTTCCTGATCCAGCAAGCAGTAAATTTGCATTCATTAGAATGTGAGCAGTACGAAATATCGCTGCTATCCCTTACCAGTCGGATCGCCATGTTTGTCCGGGCCTTCTTCCTTTTCGTGTAAAGTTTACCTGTTGACCACCTCTCTTCCAAACTAAGAAGCTCTGGTATAGTGGATCATGAGGTGTTGATTGACGGCCACCCATCGTCAGCATTCCCATACTGTACTCAACCTAGTAGAGCCATCCGTTCCGGTCCTGCCCACGTCCTTTCCATTGTTGGCCGAGCATATTCACTATAAGAACGGCCCATCCCAATTTAGGCTTTCTGGGCGCTCGCTTGTGATCTAATGGGATCAATTCGTTAGCCGGAAGGTCCGACGGTTGTCTTCAATAATGCCACATGACCGGCCCATTCTCGTTTAGGTTTATACATTTTCTGGGCAACATCAACAAGACCACTTCGTCTTCGCAACTCTGTGTTTGTGATATGTTCACGAAGTCACACATTGCAAATTCTACGTTCCATTGATCTTTGTATCACACCAAATTTCTCTTCGTCCGCCTTCGTAGAAAACCAGCATTCCGCTTCGCGGGTTTCAAAGCTTTCAGTTTCATCAGGACGTCTTCGTCTAGTGATAACGCTGAGATTTTGTTGAAGCTAGACCAAGCTCCTTTCCTGCGCCTGCCGTGCTCTCCGCTGCTGCCTTTTGAGAAGCTGAGCTGGTGTCCAAGGTACTTAAAGCTTTTTACTTCCTAGAAGGTTTCGCCATTTATTTCGACTGTCGCTGGTTGTGCATCCTTCGTTTTTGACAAATCCATTTCAAGTCCGATTTCGCTCGATTTCATCTGTAGCTGCGCAAGTTTCTATTGGAGCTCTAGGGAATCAAGAGCAAAATGACACAATCGTCATCGAAGAGCAGACAGGTCAGGTGTTCCCCATCGATATCCATATTTCCGGTCCAGTCAAGATAATTGAACAGGGCTTCCGAAGTTAGTGTAAACAATTTTGGAGAAATCGTATCCCCTTGTCGCACCCCCTTGCATAACTTTATTTGGCATGGATCGTTGAAGAACTTTATCCCTGTGGTACAGCCACTGTTCAAATCTCCGAGAATGTTGTTTTAGCACGAATTAATACCGTATCTTAGTATCGCGTTTGTTGCGACCGAATCGAGTGCTTTTCTGTAGTCGACAAACGTCATACATAAGGGAAACCGATACTCTCCACATTTTCCGATAAGCTGACGTACGACGTGGAGATGGTCAAGTGTACCCACTACCCACTTCGAAATCCCGCTTGTTCTCGACTCATGGCCATATCCAGGTCTCCGACTATGCGATTCAGGACTTTTCTGGTGAAGGACTTATAGACTTGAGACAGCAATGTGAGGGGCCTGTAATTGTTAAAACTCTCATGATCGCTTTTTTCATTAGCAGTATCGTCCGTGATTTCTTCCAGTCACCGAAATCCTCTTCTCACTGCAGTATCTGCTGGAGCGCTTTGCCAGCGCTTTGAAGAGAGTTTATCCACCTGCTTTTAGGTGTTCGGGACGTATGTTGTCGCAACCTGAACTTTTCTCCCGCCTTAATCTGTTTTACTGCATGCTCCACTTCTTCCCACATGACATCTGGGATCGATTCTTCTGCAGTGGTTTGAAGGGCGACCGCCTTTGGGGAGTACAAGTCGTTAAAGAACTCAGTAACTTGGTACCTATTTCGTTCATCCGAAGGCGGTTAGCAGTCCTAGCACCTGCATTGTCCTTGAGAGCAGATGGTATGTGATGCCTAAGGCAAATATCCCCATCTACGGCTTTCAGACTAACCTTTCCCTCGGCTGCTTCACGAAGCTTCTTTTGTCTGTAGCCTTTATAGTCGGATTTTATCTTTCTCCCTATCGCTTCGCAGAGTTCCCTGTAATCCGCGGTTTGCACTCGTCCTTCGGCTTTCATGCGCTTTCCCTTCTTCGTCATTTGCGCTGCTTCTGTCGATATACGTCGTCGCCTTGCTGGTTCCGTTGCTGTGCTCGATGCCTTCACGACCTGCGTTATTTTCTCCACTAGATCTTCATAGTCAGCATCGATGCTATTACCATATTCATCTCTAGGTCTGGCGACTCTTTCATCGTTGCATGTCGGCATTGAAAGTACGTCGTATTAGTGTTTTTTGCTGATGTAAAACTCGATTTTCTTTTTTGACATTGCAGAGGATCACCAAGCTTAGATGTCGGTGATCGGGCCCGTTCGCAATCACACTTTCCCCAAAACGGGGACGTCAGCGAAGAATCGTGGTATATCGGTAAGCACATAACAATCTGTCTTAATGTTTACGTATCCGGGTTCCTCCATGTCCAAAAACGCTTGGTTTTCTTCTCGAAGAAGGTGTTCATTATCGAGAATTTGCGTTGTTTTGCAAACTCGATTAGACGATTTCCTCTGTCGTTTCTCACTCCTGCGCCGTACCTTCCTAGAAGGTGTTCGGCACCATCCAATCGAGAGCCGACTACGGCGTTGTAGTCGCCTTGGACAATAGTGTACGTCGATTTGAGATTCAAAACCCTCTCTATTTCCTCGTAGAAATGTTCGAATTCGTTGTCTTCTGCTGATGCGGTGGGCACGTATACTTGCACGATTTTGAGCGTTCGGTTCAATAGCTTCTGCAACTTGATCTTCAGAACCGCAACCCGTGGGGACTGAATAGCGCAAGAAATAACATGCGGACCATCTTTGCTTTCACGATGAAACCGACTCCACCTCTTCTGAACATATTATCAGCTCCTTCTCCTAGCAGAATTTCTTCACCGCTCGTCCATTTCGCTGGGACTGCGCGTGCTATCCTAGTTTCGCAAACACCGACGATGTCGGCTATGATCTTCTCCAACTGTTGCAGGTATATGTCTAGGAGAGAGCCCGTCGATAATGTTCTGGCGTTGAGGGAAGCGACGTGTACTCTCATGCGTCCGTGGTCCCGTGGTCCTTATCCCGTGAAAACAAGATGATCTAAAAGCGACAGAGACCAGAAATGGCGTTTGATCGTACTGAAAATACTTACTGTAGGAAACTGTTCGAGACGGGCTATACTACCGTTTGGAGTATTATAAAAGTTAGGATTCATGGATAGGATTGAGCAGCTCCACAAGCCATTTATAAAAACTTCAATCAGAGGAGTTTGCTTCAATCGCGTATTGGTGGTCAACCATCGCTAAGGGGTGTTAATGTGAAAGGCATCACGGATGGGTTCATGAAACCAATAAGCTTTTATAAAAAGCATTACCGGCATCAGAATAAACTTTGTACTTTTCGAAAAGTTTTTCAAACAAAGATTAGCAACTACTGCGACACTTTTATTGCAGGTCAAATCGACTATGCTTTCTTTCAACGAAGAGGTAGACTCATTCATACGGTGCCGTTACCTCGTGCCGGCCACAGGGAGATGGTTATCGCTGCGTTTGGAACTAATAGGCAACATCATGGTACCCAGTTCTAGACATTATCAGTTTTTGGGTAAAATTTTTAATATATGTAGCAGCTGAGTTGCGAACGTTTGTTTGTAAGTTTGTAGGCTTCAGATCCGCATTATATAAAGCAATCATCGACCTATTTTTGCTGCTCCTTGCAAGCTCGATTATTAACTCATTGGTTCTCGACTCTATTTGAAGTATTGTTATCTATGAAGCTATAGCTGATCTAAAAGACATTCGAAAACAAGGGCAGTTCCGAGTTGTCTATAGCTCGCTACTCCCGTGATGTGACGGATTGAAGATGCAGGAGAGAATATGATGAGGTACAGGAACGATATGCCGTAGAAGCGTATTCTATGAAGGGCAGCAGCATCACATCGATCCCTTTCCATCTTCTATGATTATAATATTCAAATATTCTTTCTACCTACTGTGGATCTAGAGAAAAGTATATATATTGAAACCCATGAATTCTTGTTTTTCAAAAATTCTGGAGGTGCACAGGAACACATTTCAATCATAAATAGAGCGATTGACAACGGCAGACGTTTATCCACCATTCCGTAATTTTCTGACGAGATAAGGAGGAGCCCTCCAATTAGATAAAATACTTAGCCAGGCAGAGGATCTGTCCTCTTTTCTTGGGTACACATCGTGAGAGAACATAGACGAACGCAATCGTAATTCGGTTAGAAAAACCACTATTAACGATTTCTTTGTAAACGACAATGATGGAGTGGTTAAAACCAAAGACTGAACTAATGCTTATTCAACATTGAGGTTCTCGCTTGTTCCGTCCTGGTGTCGCTCTTTCACGAGATGTCTCTTATAACAAGTGGAGAAATCGGTCTCTGTGTGTCCTTTGCTCTAAGTGTAAGTCAAGTATCTTGTAACTTATCAGTTCCAAGAAAGAGTTTTCAGTTGACAGACATGATGAATTTTTCCGTCAGAATGATGGCCCTCAGTGATGCAAATGTTGTGGCTGTTGAGCGAATCAAGGAATACCACGACATTGAGAGCGAAGTAAGTCTCCTGTGCAATGTCTTTTGAGTGGGGCTTGGTTTGAACGAACTCTCCCAAACCACGTGCGCTCACACCCGACATTCTAAATATTTCAAAAAAAAAATGCTGCCCGAATTGAAATAGTGCATTTTCAAATTTCATAATCTCCAGCAACATGGCGCAACCGATTACCCCTTACTGGACACGTGGCCTCACAGCGGAGCGATCGATTTCCACAAGTTTAGTATTCAATACGGCAACAGTGAAACATTTGCAGTAAAGGATGTAACTCTATCGATTAAAGGAGGAGAGAAAGTTGCAATCGTAGGTCGGACAGGATCAGGTAAGACCAAGTGAGTCAATTTGGATTTTACACTATGATAAAAACATTTAAGGCAAGACCTCTCTCGCAAGAGGATTGCTTCGTCTCGTTCAAAATTTCACTGGTGACATCCTCATCGATGGAGTCAACATCTCGTGTCTCAGTCTTCATGAACTCAGATCCAGAATTACCATCATTCCTCAGGTTTGTTTCACTGTTACATGCTGGTGCGGAATTCATGATAGAGTGAAAAGTACCCGTGGATCCGAAATTGTGCCAAAAAAACAGATATTCCTTCTGAACAAGTATTATGAAGTAGTATAGGAGGATGAGAAGAAGAAAGAAAGTTTGGCATAGCGAAAATCACCACTTGGCCCCTCGCATATTGAAATTATTCCGTTGTTGTAAAACCAATCACCACATTCCATTTTTCAGATTTTCACGTTTACCAAAAACACAAGTCTATGATTCCTTCTTTTCTCTTGAATTGACTTAGTTTCTTTTTCTTTTTTCACAAGGAAACATTCCATCTCACCTCGTCCTGCTCACATACAAAGCGGTGCGGAACAGACCGTATAACTCTCTATTTCGAAATCATATTTTCGATGTAGATGAACATTTCCTGCAAATACGCGCTGTTTGTATGACTCGATGAACCAAGCTGAATACCACTTCCCTCATTAAAAAAGGAAGTTTAATCAGTTTAATGGAACAAAGAAACACATCGGTCCACGTTTACTTCCATTCCTTTTCCAAAAAGGCGGGTGTAAAAACAATCTTCCGTTCAAGAGATATGATGCTCATCAGAAGGGCCACAATGAGTGAACAGCAGAGTAAAATGCAGCTTTTTTGCTTTGTGAATCACAAGCTCGAAAGCGATTGAGTGAGACGGAAAGTCTCAGGATTCATGTTTATTACGCATGCTAAAGGCACAAGTTAGATATGAATACCGTCAACAGCTGAGATTGAAGCAACGGCCGAAAAGATCATGCATAATCACTAAAAGCGCAGCAGCTTCCAACAAACAACTACATTCAAGAACTGGCCTCACAAAACTCCGGAACTCATCATGCTTAACTAGAACGTTGTAACAAACCTCGTTTCAAATGAGCACATCATAGAGCGGCCGGTATATTCCTGGCTAGTCACAAGCGAGAGCTGTGAGCTCTAATGGTAAGGATGAGCTCCTTGCACGTAGACTTGTTTGAGGCCTTGTTGGCAAAACTTAGAGCCCTTTTATCGCTCTTGTGATTGTTATTTTTCAGTGAAGAGAAGCCATTTTTCATCTTCCATGAACTAGATCGAAAATCGAAAATTTTGCTTCTATCTTGTGGTGAAAGTACTTCCTGATACCTGTTTTGATTGAAACTTTTGGAAACGTGGGACACGAGAACCGTTTCGAATGAGTGATATGTGAATGAAATTCTTCTGCGCTATTGTGATTGTATGACTGTCATTCTTCCGCGAAAGATTAAATGGTGAACGGCAAAAAGTGGAACTCCCTCAATCGTGTACGAAGGTTTTGGAAAGTTCCGAACATTCCGTGCATCAGGTGGTTGTTACTTTTCAGACCAGCTCAAAGTCTGGTCAATGGCTTCTTGCATTTTTGAAAAATACTCCTGACATAAAATTGTTTTGCAGATTATTATGTGTATATGGCAGGAATTCATTGCCACATCAAGCATAAGTTAACAAAAACGCTTAATAACAGCAAACAGCCTTTCTTTTTAGTCTCTTGTGGTAGAAAATTAAACATGGGATCGCAGCAGCAAAAAGAATAACAGAAAATAAAGGAGTAGCCCAAAAACATCGCCTCATTACTCGGCGATCAGCTGATTGTGTGTGGGTTCTAGAGTGAATATTGCAATCTGTATCGCTTCGACACTCGTCTGACGTGACATTGATCGAGGGGCGGGAAGTTTGGGTGATCCTGTGACGGTGCACCCATTTTGAAGTAGCTGTTGAGTTTTGGGCTTGACGGCATCCTTCTGTTACCCTTGGAAGCCACAGGGTAAACCTGAAGGGAGAACTAATAAACCATTTTTTCGAGCATTGTACCTTTAACTTCTCTAAGCGAACCAAAACCTTGCTCTGTATGTGTTTTGAAAAAAAAACTGGCGATAACACTCATTAAAGCACATCGTTTAATTTGAAAAACCATTCCACGTGCACGAGGTTGAAAATGAAAGCTTCCAACCTGCCGGGATTTTTTGTGGACTCTATCAAACGCTTTCGCAAAGTCAAAATAATGATACTGCAACAACCTGCATTGTAATAGTTTCAGTCCAGTCATATGGAAACTCGACCACGTTTGTCTCAGGAGACCGACCAGGGATAAACTCGTGTTGATACTTCACAATGACTTATCAACCTACAAATGATGATTAACATAGTCTTCCAACCTTTTCAAATGGCTTATAGGACAAGAGCGAGATCCTTGAACGTCTGTAGCTACATAAACTTTTCTTTTTTAGGATAGATCTTCGGGCGCGAGCGAGCCTCTCACGACGGAGGGATACTTGATTACAGTGGCCATTCAAAATGGGTTGTGAACCCCCGTGCGTAGCTTCAAACGCTGACCTTGAATCTTCGTTCCAATCTGCTGAACGATTTCGCGAATGAAGTTACGGGACCAATTCCCCTCTGTTTTATACACTGTACGGAACAGATAACCGAACCGAACAAAGCTGTGGCTGCGGAACGGCGGCGCAGCGGATAAGGCCCGGTAGGCATGGCATAAGGGGTTCGAAACTTTGATGCATGCGTTCGTTTCACCTCTCTATGAAATGCGTCCTATACGCTAGCAAAACTTTTTCGGGCTTGATATTTGCTTTCAGCAAAGCTCGCTCACATTTTAGAATCAAGGGGAGTAATAATCCAATGAAAAAATTCTCATCATCACTGACCACATATCCATACACACGCCTCTCGACTCCAAACACTCAAAATAGTGCTTCAAAATTTTCGTCGGCTCCCCTGCAATTATGGTAGAGGGAGGTCGAATGACTCACCTGGCCAGAGCCATCTTTGGATACGGTCCTTACATTTGAGGAGTACTGCCCGCACATCCAAAGCGCTGGTACAATTTACCCAAAACTCAGAAAAAATAGTTGCTTGATCTATTTGCACATGCGATGATCCATTGAATGTCAAAAAACCCTTCTTCGAGGTAGACGTGGGTGATGCGGCGGGACATGATACACGGCTGGACTCGAACCCTAACCCACCTACAACATGCTTTGATGCTGACCTCTATAAGGACTCAGTCATTGATTACAAGCATCATCCAGCGGGAACGACTGTCGTGCAGTGATATTCCCATATTAATTTATGATACCTTATCCTTCCAACCTATCCGCTAATCTCCATAGGCAGACAGATCGGTCCGCTTGTTTTGCACCTGATGGTTACAACCAGATAAGACGTCATATTTTGTCGAAAAGGGACTAATTCGGAGGCTCATGGTCTCTCTCACCTACTCTGAACTTCCATGGATGGCACTCAGTCGTGATGAAACGAAACTCGGTTTTCATGTACGAAGGAGTGCGGCTTCATTTGACAATCGAGCCAGGAGGCTAAGACTCTTCTACCAGCGCCACGAAATTGAAGCTCTTGGGCCAAATCACAAAGTTGGATGTGACGTTCCACTCTAGAACATCTATATCCCCAGAAACGCACGAGGTTCCTCTCGCGATGTGATGAGTCCAGCTCTCGTTTTTTTTGCATACATGGGCATACTTACACCCTCATTCGGCCGGCGAAGGACGAGAAACATTTTCCTTGTAGTACCTTTTCAGTGTTCCGGAGATGTTAGGGAGCTCCGCAGAAAGCCAATATCGAGCTCAGACACGTTTTGCAAGCGCTAAGGCATGAAAAATTGGATCCTTGAAGCATGCGCTCGCTGTGTTTCTCCTTGAATAGACGGATTTGAACCCATATGCCAAGCATACCAGACGATCGTCCTACCAGTTGCGCCGCGTTGCACAGCTACGTCTGTGCTCGTTTCGATTATCTGTTCGGTACAGTGATATAACACAGGCAGCAATTGATCCCGTAACTTTGTTCCAGAATCGGTTAGCAGATTTGGAACACAAATTAGAGACCAGCATTGAAAATCACCTGTGACGGTATATATATATATTCTTAAATGACCACTGCGACCAAGTATCCTTCCCCTTTGAAATCAGTGCTACCCGCTGACGCACAGCAATCCCCGGTTTTTAGTGAAATACTGCCGGCTTTGAGGGAAGCAGTGTTAGCTCCCGCACTGTTAAACCGAAATGACCATAAATATAATGACACATAATGACCATAATTAGTTACCTTCTGATATTTATAATTTTTTGTGGGCCCTGAGATCACCGCGTATTTCTTATCTCATGACCGTCGATGGCATGTTGTTGGTCCCTTGTTGCTTACGTAATCGAGTGGGACGGCAACGCTGGTGAAACCACAGAACTTCTTTGGCTGGGACCTTTTGGTGTTCGAACTTCTTGGAGTCGTTGCAAATAGCTTAGCGCCTTTGGGCGCTTGGTCGGGTGAGCCACGGATCAGGAGCTCCAAGCTACTTTCAGGCTCTCGAATGCGACGAGTCGTTCGAAACGTCGCCCTAACAAGGCGGTTTTATCATAGCAAACCTGTGCGGCGAAGCCTATGTGAAACATTAGCTGAGCATTGCCTTCGTGGGCTGCGATTCTGGTCTGGGGCCAGAGTAATATGTTTTACGTGTTACGTGGCCAAGCCACTGTCACGTTCTCATAAAGTTTGCGTAAAGAGCTCAATTCTCTTCTCCTATTTTAGGTACTCCAGCCATGCCAGAGTGCTTCAGCAAGTCAGCAATTTCTGGCATGCATCTCTTCTCATTTGGAGCTGATGACCACCCAGCTCGTGAAGTATCTGCACGTCCTGTCTCCAAGGCTTTCCGAACAATGCAGATGGGCGGCTACTGTGTGGTGATGGCTATTAAGCTCGCGGGTACTGCGCCTGGAATCCACTTCAACCAGCTTCAGAAGGTTGTCACTATTCAGCTCAGCCGGTCTCCCAGGTCGTGGTTTTCCGGTCATATCAAAGTGTGCATGTTCGAACTTGTGATACCCTTTGCTTGTCGTGTTGTAACATACAGTGGAGGGTCCCACCGCATCACATATCTGCTTGCCGCACGATTTGGACTTATGTCTTTCTGAACGCATAAAGGATAGCATTCTAACTTGTTTCGTATTGAGAGCGATTAACTGTTGCGAAATGCTAGCATGAAGAGTTGAGCTGCACATAGGCTGCTTTCATAATTCGCCGGCGTGCCATCCGAGGTAGCGCTAGGAGGGGGAGGAAGGGAGACGGGCGGTCGACGCGGTCGCGTCGCGCCGAAGTCCCTTTGAGGGGCTGAAAACAAAGAAAAACAAGATCAAAAACCATTTGCGTCTGTCCTTCGAAGGGGCTTGGTCGCGACGCGACCGAGTCGACCACCCGTCTGCCTCAATTCCCCCCTCCTAGCTCTACCTCACTCCTCCTAGCACTACCTCGGCTGGCACGCCGGCAGCAGCCATATGCTTGTGTTCAACAGTTGACGTTCGAAAGTGATCTCCAAAGATTGCATGGAAACGACGGTGTGCAAATATTTCCCTGGCAACCCCTAGCAACATTACATATCAGGAAAAGTAATTTGAAAAGGATATAAGTCACGTGAAAAGTCAAAAGTAGCACGTCATCAGAAACATCTAATATCGAGCCAATCTGGCTTCTAGCACGAAACAAACAAACCAAACCCCATTCGTCTTGTGACGTGGCGGTGAGCGGTCGTTTCCAGCTCGTCTCTGACAGAACCTATTGTCTTACGCTGGCTCCCGTCTGCAACGTTGTTGGATCTCCATATCCCAAGCTGACAGGAATGAAGATCTTTGACGCTGTATCCCAAGTAGCAGGGAAATCTGAATATCATCTGAATTGCCACTACTAGAGGGAATTACCCGTTTTGGTGGCTTGATTGTCATCGACCGGTCAGGTCATTCTTGATCTCTATTGACCGATACTCAACTGGCTAGCTTTCTTGTGGCGGGAAGCGACGATTCTTACCTACCCTACTGAATGTTTCTCTTTTGGTCAAAACGAGTTCCTTGCTCTCTGTTGACTCTATGTTCAAGGGACGGAGAAGTGGCCTCTCGAATTAGGGCCTCCACAGATTTCTGAGCAAGAAAAGGCCCTGGTGACTGCAGTCGATCAAGATGGCTGCTGACTTTATGCCTGCCTATATGCAGGCAATTGTCGATTATCTGCCCCATGTTAAAGAGAGGCTTGAAATTAAGACTAGTGAAAATAAGGCTTTAACTAAAGAAGTCCGGAAACTCAAAGTTGAGAATTTTCGTTTACGCTGTTCCTTATTACAAAGATCACATTCCCAGCACATAGTTAAAAATTTTCTTTACCTCAAGTATCTTCGTCTGTCAAGAATGAAAATAGACCAGTGTTGATTGTTGCGAAGTTAAAGAACTATCACTTTCTTTGTAGATTATAGGTGTGCCCAAATCTCGTGATCCATTTGTTTAGAATCGCATTGCTCTTGATTTTAAATGTGCTAGGCAACTTCTAAACTTTCTTACTATTGAATGTGCTCCTGTATAGGCAACATTGTCGCCCTAGCTTAATGAAGTTGATAATCTCTACCACTAGGATCAAAGAGGAGACTGACAAGCCCGCACCTACTCCCAGGCTATCCCCATTTAGGGGCACTTACAATGGCGCCTCTCTTTCTGAAGCAGAGAGAGAGATAAGCTCCGTGCTTTGAGACTAGCGGCACGTGTGAAGCCTGACAAATTTCCTTTAATACCGACGAACACTTCTCCAGTTGCTGCCCCTGACAGTCATTATATACTCGAAGATGTTAGTATTTCTACAATTAGTCCTTTGAATGTTTGACGTTTCCTCGGTATTGTGGCTGTAAGTTCGAACGTCTGCTGAGGAAATCAGGTCACTTCTCAAAATTGCGATTCAATTGTATTTCTTTTGACACAAAATCGTTTTGATTTTGTTTTTATTGCCCTCACTAAAACTTGGCTCAAGTCGCTGTTTAAAAATTTCACATTTCTTGGCATTTTGAATTATGAGTACACCCTTTTACGTTATGATCGGTACGAGGGTGTTGGAGGTGTCGCTTTATTAATCAGGATCAATATACGTATCGTGTGATTTTCGAAGGAACTATTACTGGTTCGTATGAACTTTGGTGCCGTGATATATCGTCATTATCGGCTCTATGTACAGTGGTTGTATTTTACAGAGCGCCTACTTTCATTCAACAACTCTTCAGAGCTCTTACTGATCTTTCCATTTACCCTCACGCTTTTCCTTTCCGTCCGGTAAAACAAAATATGTAGTTCTACCGAAGTCATGTTACGGCTTCGCAAAATATGGATTGAAGCAGCTGGCGGTTAATTCAGCTCGAGGAAATCATATTTTGTAATAAGGAAGAACTAGTCAAAAGGGTGGAAATAGGCCCGCCTATTAACTTCTAGTGATCATTATGTCCCTGAATTCCTGAGGTTCATAATAATTTAATTTCTCCCTGAGGTTTCCGAAAAGTAATGAAACCCCTATTCTACGTATGAGGCTCTCTGTAGCTGACTATGATAAAATCTACAAAAACCTTGCTGATGTGGACTGGAACGGGTCTTTTCGAGCCTCTGCTGAAGTCATTGAAATATATGAACCTTTTGTGTTTGTTATTGAACATGCCATTCATCAGAATGATAAGAACTATTTCGGACAAACCTTGTCGATGAACAAAGTTCGATTGGAGTTGGGTTTCTTGGTGTCAGAAACTAGTGAATGGACAGCCGTGAGTAGGAGCACCAGCATTGTCAGAGCAACAATGAAGAGGGCTCCGGGGCTTACCGAGCATTACAGGAAGGCATGTCTTGCCTTTGAGAAGTTGAATTTGGTATGAGATTTTACGTACGTATTACTGGTTAGCCATACGGTCCAACATTCTCGTTCAGGTCGTATTTTTCAATGAAAAGAAAGTTAATTTGGAAGGTCCCGATGGTTACAATTACTACTGGCATCACTCTAGTCATCACACTTGTGGAGGAGGAAGCGTCATGGCACGGGGTACCTTCTGCAAAGATGTTGGGCTGGAGCTTGCTCTCGTGACTTCCAAGCGGACTCCGAAGACTTTCGGGAAGTCTTACAATGGCATCTGGTGCAAATCCTGAGCCGGCGACGTGGTCCTAACTGCGTTTTTCAACAGGACAGTTCTGCGATCCACGTTAATCATTTCACGAAAGACTGATTCCTCTCCCGAAATTACGAAATTTTGGCATGGCCACCTTGCAGCCCCGATCTGAACCCGATGGAGATCTGTTGGGCAACATTGTGAATGAGATTTATGCGAACTACCGACAGTTTCAGATGATAGAAGGGCTCAAGCAGGCAGCACTTGAATCTTGGAATTAATCCTTTGACGAAGTCTTTTGAAACCCTGTTTCGAGTATGCCATGTAAGCTATTCGATGTTGGGCTAGAACGAGGAGGACCCATCGACTACTGAATGTTTTTTTCTCGATACTAATGATAATTTTTTCAAATTCTAAAAGCGGTCTCATACTTATAGAACGGCGGAAAATTCAAAAATTATTTATACAAATGTTATGGTCGAGGCTTGTTCAGAAAATGTCCGTGCGTGGGGGTTATTCAGGGTAGTGAGTCATACAGTAGTGCTTATTGTTAGAAATTATCTGCTTGGCTGCTTATCCTTTATACTTGGGAAACGCACTGTATTTTCTGCGAGTGATTCTCGTATTCCAGGAAGCAACCTTAAGGATCATGTCCCTAGACCGAAGACCCTATGTACATCGATGTCACTTTTCTTGTCACCGTTCTCGCTCAGAATTCAATAGAATCGTGAAACGGGGTAACGTGCCAAACTCAATTGCTCAGTTCAAAAGAATTGCGATTCGACACTTTAAATGAAACTGATAATTCACAATTTATATGCCTTTGCTTACTATTTCCACAACGTGATCAATTCGTTTTCAGCTTACCATTAGTTCCATTACATTTCGTTTATTTCGTACCCACAAATTGTTATGTCATCATCTGTAACTGTAGCCTTAGTTTTCATGCCCTGGTTTGCGTTTTGTTCCTGGCGTCGCACGAACGTTTCCGTGTAATAACTCAACTCGAAATCTCAAAAGAGATCAGAGCAATAGATTCAGAAGCAGGGGGATAGGGTGCCTTCCTCGGTTTAACGAGCACTACTCAAAATGTAACTGTTGAGCCACGAAGCCAAACTCTTCAGTGACTTCTGTCGCACCTTAAAAAAGGGAATTACATATGCCTGAGTATCTTTGTTACCTTGAACTTCCATTCTCCTTTCAGCCATGTCAAAGATCACGCCAGCAGTATTCTCAGAGCTAAAGCTATTTGTTCCAGTAAATGCATGGAGATTGAATAGATCAAAGAATTTTTTCGGCTATTTTCAGGATCCTGTACTGTTCTCTTCAACAATACGCTTCAATGTTGATCCATTTGATCGATTTGCCGACAGTGATATATGGCAGGCATTGGAAGCTTGCCAACTTAAAGATATGGTATCAAAGAACGAGCTCGGTTTGATGGCAGAAATTGAAGAAGGAGGAAAAAATATCAGGTAGTATGAAAATAGTGTACAAAAGGCGTTGAGACGTATCTCCTAATATGAGCTTTTAGTATCGGAGAACGGCAGCTTTTGTGTTTGTGTCGGTCGCTCTTAGAAGGCGGAACGATTCTCATTCTTGATGAGGCAACAGCTTCGCTCGATCACGCCACCCAAGCACTAGTTGACGCGGTGAGCAGGGAATTTGGTTGAAGCAGTCTCTTCATTAGGAGTATTGTACCGTTGTATAACATTTTGGGTGGTGCGAGAACACTTCCGCCATGCAACAACAGTCACCATTGCCCACAAACTGGAAGTAGTTGGGGGATGTGATAGGTAACGAGATTAAAGCTTTATTTCAACTCCTTCATAAATATGATTTACTAGTCCTGCATTTTTTTGCATTTAGGATAGCTGTAATGGAAGATGGTGAAGTGGTTGAATTTGACACTCCAGACAATCTTCTAGCAAGAGAGGAGTCAATCTACCGAGAACTGGTAGAGTCGAAGAAATCGCACTGACTCGAGAATTGGACTTGGAGACAATCGCAGACTTGGAGCTTAGGTGTTTGAAATTTTCTATGGACGATGTACGAGATATTATCACCTCATTGCCAACATATGCATGATAAATGTTGCACATAAAGACTCCTTTGGAATGCTCCCATGTCGTTACTGAGTTGTTTTCTTTAACTCTTCACGAGCTCCCATGTCGTTTAAGGGAACCCTAAGAAATTTTCCTTCCTCCTCGCTCTTCGGTTAAGCGAACTTTGATTCGCATTTATTGGTAATGTCGCTTTAGAGCATCAACTAGGTTTCGAATTTCTACTTTGATCGATCTCAAATATAATACATCGTAAAATCCTTCTTTGCGTCAGGAACATGTAAGAGCCCCACTTGTTTTGTCGGTAGACACTTACTTACTACTCTAACTGTGCCTGATCCTCTTCGCAAGAGATCAATTAGAAAGAGAAATTACAAGTTAAGAAACAAAAATTATCAAAAACTTACTTAGTGGTTCGTTTAAATATTGAATATATTGAAAAACACTGGTTAATGGCCATATGCAATGCTACCATTTGGCCTGCTCCGTTTTAGCAATAAGTGCCTCGCCACCTACTATCTCACACTTAAGTCGCAAAGGAAGTAATTCCGATTTTTGAGAACCATTATTTCGAACACTCGTTTTGGAAGCTCTTCGGAAATTTAAACGCTCTTAATTTAATACATATTACAGGTATATACTTGTACTTTGTTCGAAGAAAAACTGAACAAATTTCGTTATTTCGTTTCAGTTTGTGGTTCTAGGATCAGGTTGAACATGGCGTGTCAGATGGAGCATTTCTGGAACATTTCGGAGGTAGTGTGGTGGCAAGTGGCGCACTATATCACACGTACGGTCAGGGGGTCGAATCCCGGATCGATACCCGCCTAGGCCAACCAAGCCTTTCATCCCTCCGGGGTTAATTGGTTAATTGGTACCAGACTCGTCTGGGAGGATAAAAGCACTGACTTGTGCATTGGCTGGCCACCGCAAGTCATTGTATAGGCCACATACGCACTCATCACGCCACTACGATTCTGAATGGAAGTCGAGTGCGGGGGTGCATCCCTTAGACGGGATCGATTAACGCCAAAAACTTTATCCTTTATCCTTATATGTAGGTAAAACATAAGGTGTTTTTGTCTTATCACAATGCAGTTGTGAACACGACTTTTCGTTCCCAGCAGTTTTTTATCTCAAGTTTTGCTGACCAGTAGGCATGGATGACGATCTTTTGATAGTGTCAACTAGAGCCCACTTTTATGTATACCATGTGAGAACTTACTAAGAGAAACAAGGCATCCAGGATATTTTACGAAAATATCGAAGAAATTACCAATGAAGAAGATAGATTTTCGGGTGTTTGGTTGGAAATTGATAGCCCTGATCTCGCGCCAACCGAATACCATTTATTTTGGTAGTGGAGAAACCCCCCAAGAAGAAAACCCTTACTAAAGATGAAGTTACAAATCTGACAGGTTCCTCCGCTACCAAAAGGAAAGCAAAAGGTAACCGAACAAAACTGGGTATACAGTAGCGCTCAAATGTTTCGGCCAAATGCTTCCTCACTCGTACTTTTCAGTCATAACTCCTTTCCCACTGGATCTATCAAGCAAAATTCAATATGTGTAGCACTGGTGTGGTGTGAATATTTACCACTATTAACCTGCATTTTTACCATGTTCCATATATCCCAACGAGCTTGAAATCAAAACCAATTGAAAATAGGGACATTGGCGCTACTAGGATTTCTTTCCTTTTCGCTATGTCCAAAGTGTATGAAGTGTACGAACGCTAATACGGAATACAGAAGAGGAGAAAAACGCAAATAAGGTGCGAATAACTGCATACGTCACAAACTTGCTTTCAGCATAATCTACAAACGCCTTCGTCTTAGTTATGCGGACATTGCTGCTTTGCAGTCAAATAGTATTGGATAGTGTGGAATATGCTTCACTTGAACATATCAAAATAGCATACATGAACAACGAGCAGGTCACGAATCGAGGAAAATTCACAGTTTCGTTTGAAATGAATCGCTTCTCGATTACTTAACTGATAATGAGTCAACGAGCGATTACCCGCGAAGGTCAAGCAACCCTTTCCTCCCGCCGGTATCGGCTATCTCTTCAAAATCTACCTTGGAGTGTGGGTCTTCATACATACATGTATTACATTCACACTGACAGCGCAACTGTAAGGGTCTCTATGAAACATTTCACATGAGTTTAATGCAGACCAACAACGGAACTTCATGAGAAAGGAATTCCCAAGACATCTGACTTCAATCACTAAGATTAAAACCTTTGCAGCGACTTCTTCATCTTTGGTACAGACGACACGATTAGAGAAGAACCCATAACCGATGAGATTTCCCGGTCGCAATCCGTCTTCGTCGCAGTTCCTTTGCCGAGATCCGTCTTTGTTTCACTTTCAGCTCATACGTCGCAGTAAAAAAGTGCGCTAAGGCGATGTGTAGAATCTAGTGCGGATTGAAGTGAAATGGAGTTTGCAAAGTGGAAACCGAAAAAAAGCTAGCTATAGAACATCGAATTATGGTCTTCACTGTGGAGATCCAGAACTGCGATTATAATCTCTTGTCTCGAGCTGAGTTCTGACCACTTTCTATGTTATGCTGAGAGCAATAGCGATGCTCGCAGTTTGAAGTTCAAAAGGAAGGGTAAAGAAGAGCATCGAGATAACCGGATTTGCAGCAATAGCTAGAGCTGTTTGTGGTTGTTGAAAAACTTCACCGAATTAGTGGATTTTCGAGAAAGCTTTTAGAGGCAAACGAGTGAAGAGATTTTAAGAAAAGCTCGCAGATGTGTTTGTGAATGTCAGTACTTACGCCTTGTTAGCAGAGATTCGAAGCCATAAGTCAATATACACCTGCAGAAGTACTTTTCCACTGCAACAAGAAGTGCTGAAAGAAAACCAGATCAGTCCATTTCACTGCTTATCCGGCTGAAGAAGAAAGTGCTGGTCATCGCTACGAAGGTAGCGACAGCTAAGTGAACTCAGAGATGATTATGCAGAATTTCAGAAAAACAGCCACAGTATGATTTAAGATATTGATTGTTCAAAATGTGGCCAGTAAAGTATACGGAGGCGGTCTGACAACTTTCGATACCTCAAAGAATTTTATGGAAAATGCACGTCTTCGATGGCTAACCTGCATTCTCGTATCTCGCATTTTCCACTTGTATTGAGGATAAGACTGGGAAAACTTCAATGGCACAGCACTTCGGAACTTCGACTCTCCAAGAAGGTTAGCAAAAATGTTAGAAAGCCCTGCGAAACTTTATAATTACACGATGAGCGGAGAAGGTGAGGATTTATTAGTAGAAATTTTTAAGGATACGTTTAGTCGAGAATTATATCTCTCAGTCAGTAATATTGCTATGAATGGGTAAACAATATAACTACAAAGAGATACATGATATACATTATTCTTCGAACGGAATAGCCCGCATGTAATATTTTTTCATAATGCCCCTACCAGAGTGCAAGTTTATGAAAGTTGTCTGAAAGGGTTAGTCTGGTTCAGCGTCGAAAATTTCTTAGTCCCATCGATGGACTTCTAAAATGCCTAGTGGTATGATAACGATTGGCAGTTCACATCAGAATTTATCCAGAACTGTCTTCACCACAAGTTTGGAGCTAATCGTTATGATCGAACTACGGTTCAATTTTCCTTTTCACTTGGCACATGAAAGAGACGACATTTTCCGAAGGTATGACCGCGTCGTGTTCATTTTCGCTCCAAAGCACCCATTTCACCCACGAACCCTTTCATCGTATCCCACTCATTTCAAAAATGGAATACCTTCTATTTGGGTCAACCTTACACATCGCCCGTGACTACCTTGACCCGATAAAGAAGGGAATGCGGTTACCCACCATCTCTGATGATGTCGGATCTATCGTATCCATACCCTCGTCGCCCATTTCTTTTTCCTAATTCACTATAACCACTGATAGGATACTTCAACAGCAACTCCGTTCGTTTTTGCTTAGTTCCGAATCTCCTCTTCTTGTTTCACAACTCCATATCTTTCTTTCTCTTAATACAATGTAAATATTCATGAATTTGGGAAAATTTGGGAATTTGTGCAGGCCTTGCTATGAGTGGTGAGTGAAAGCTTTCAAAACCGTCAAAGTACAAGAGACAAAAACTGCGTACGCTCCCAGTTAATAGAAAGCCCTATATCTTCTGAAAAACAATAAATGGCCACAAAGCTTTTGGCATAATCGTTCATTTCGAAGGTCATGTTAGATTACTATGCAATTTATGAATATTCCACTCGAATCCCACATATCAGAAGGAGGATGAATGGAATTGTACCAAATCTGGCTTTCTTCGAATTTCATTTTGGGTCAATGTTACAACTTTACGACCTGCTGTGACCCCATTTGGATTTTGTCCTTCCTAGGTTAATGCCGAAACTGACACATTTTCCTGCATCTGTGCCCTTCGAGCCGCTAATATCTTCTTATCTTGTGCTTTCTATAATATGTGGTGTTTCTAATGTAGGGATGAAACAATGAAGTTTTTACGTATGACAACTCGAAATGACTTCAGGCCCTAGACAGCAGTTCAAAATCGTCGTGGTCCTTTCGGAATTGAAAATGGAATGGACCTAAGCTTTAATGTAAATTCTCTCTAATATTATGCTATGCGAGCAACTGTAGGGCGCATCCGAAGAGCTTCATAACCACTTGTGTACTAGAGATTGAACACTGAATAAACCAACCAGGCTTTACTTCTTCCCGGGGTCGACGGTTCCGTGGTAGACGGGCAGTAGGAACTGTTTTGCGTACTCGATCCGCCGCACACGGCTGTCGCTGAACATTTGCCTCGTTATAACAGTTCTAGCTAGAGAAACGCCGCGCGTTCCAGCGTTCTTCATACAGCTCAATCGTTATGCGATTATTGCTTTTTGCATGATTATACTGATAGTTCCTTTGTTCCCGAATT